CTCTCTCTAAATCATGGGGGTGTTTTTTTGGAATAAATTGTATTTTATAAAGTAAACGTCTCCAAAGTAATCTAGTTGGAAAACAATTTCAGAGGGTAAAGACAATGATGCATATTATTTTATTTTTGATTTGAAATGAGGAAAACAATTACTTGGGGAAATACTTTCCGGTCCCAAAATTTCAATCGAAATGCCAAAAATGTGCCATCTCCACATAAAAATATTTATAAAAATAATCAGAAAATCACGTGGTTTTAGGGTTTACATGAAGCATCTGAAAGTACATTTGAATTGTCTTTTGATGCCCTGCATCAAGAAATAAGGCATGAAATGATTTTAAACTAATGCATATTTTGACCTTTCCATCTTTTGAAAACCATGTTACCTTAAAAGCTTGATTCTTTGTAGGAAGCTCTGAAGACAACTCAAAAATTCCATGGCAGTATTTTAAAAAACCCGGCTCGGTTAAACAAATCGGTCATTGGTTTGGCCGTGCTCCGGGCTGGTTTGGTGGCTCAGCCTGTTTTTTGCAGTTATTTTGCGTGAAAACCACAAAAGGTGCCTAAACTAAGACAACTACTAGTAGAACTTACCAAAACCGGAAGTCTTTAGACCTAGACTGGTATCCCATACGTTCACTAGTAGTTGTGAGATAGCTCACAGGTTTTTAAGACACCCTTCCATGGTTACGAAACTTCTTGTGCATACAACTCTATCTCCCTTCCCACCTTCGCCAGTTTAGTTCCATAATGATCCATTAAAAGATCATATTGTCTAGCGTTTGAATTTTAATAATTATTTTAGAAATTAGTTTGACGTCAAATTTTGTGAGGTGTGCACATTAATGAGAAGCACCTATATAAAATAGAAAAATTATAAAAAAATATTTATTAACTTTGGCTTATTAAAAAAAAAAAACTCATACTTTCCTAAACCTCATCTATACATTTTTTTTTTTCCCACTATTTGTATTATTTGGATTAAAATAGCTTTTACGGTAATCGTACAATCGTGAAGACATCACAGTAGACTCAGTGCCATGATGGTCTTGATGCTTTGAGGTATCACGAAACTTAAACCATATTGATGACCATGAGAAGTATCACGCCACTTAAAGTACCGTAATGGTGTTCAATCTTATAATAGCATCTGAAATAATGTGATGGTCTTCAATTTTATTTCACCTAGCCGTTTTTCCTCGCGATCTCTCTATTCTTCCTCTCTGCTATGCCTTCTCTTAATGCTTCCCCCTACCCTAATTGTTCTTACTCTCTGGCGCTCTCTCACACTGGGTCTCCCTCTCCCTCTCCCTCATCTGCCTCATTGGACATTCGCATCAGACTTTTTCATTGAAGAAAACTGTCATGGGTGAAATAGTTAACTATTTTTAGATGGACCACCCATTTGCATCCATCTTTAAGATAGATGTTTTATATCTAAGGGAATGCAAATGTAGAAATGCGTCCCCCGATATGTGGACCAATTTTCCAAAATATAATTCGAGACTCTTTTATTTAACTGGATGATGGTAAATAAAGAAGGAAAAACTACATATGGATCATATTTGTGTCCGTTCATTATAGGGTGGCTTACTTTTTGGCAAAAATTACGTGGAGGCTACCCCCACCCATGACCCTTTTTTTTTTTTCATCTATCTGACAATTCCAATACAGGACTGATGGGAAATCCCATAGGTTTTCAATTTCTCTTACTCAAGGCATGTTTGATATTATGAACACCAAACCGTCCAGACTTGCTAAGTTGTTCAGTGTTAACAAATATCAAACTTATTATATAAGCAATTATTATTATTTATATTCTTATTAGTTAATTTATATAATATAATATAATTTTATTTAATTAATTTTATTTATTTATTATTTTTATTATTATTTGTGTTTGAATGTATTTTATTTTTCAGTAATTTTCTTTTATCTTTTATTTGATATTTTCTTTTTTATTTCTAATTTTCTATCTCTATTTTAGATTTTTGTTCTATCATTTTATATATAGCTTCATATTCTAATTCTAAAATCAGAAAAATAAAATGAAAGAAAATAAAAATAACAAAAAATAAGAGAAAATATAACAGAGTTTTATATTAAAATTTAAAATTAAAAATGAAAGAAAACAGAATTAAAAATCAAATTAAAATTTAAATTAAATATCTAAAATGATAGAATAGAAATTCTTACACTTATATTAGAATAAATATTCTAACGACTAAATATTTTAAAATAGAAAGAATATGTTATTATATTAAATTTTATTATCTAATTAAATTTAATTATACTAGTTAAATAGTAAGAATTTAAATAATACTAATTATTATTTGTAATAAATATGATATTTCTAACATGGGAGAACTTAGGAAATTGGGTTGTCCGACATTTGAAATACCAAACAATATATCTATTTGGTGTTCTCAACATTTGACAAGCCCCTGAGTGAGAGAGAAATAGAAAATTTGTAGGGTTTCCCACCTGTCTGGTGTTGGAGTATCTAACAAGTAGGGGATTTTGGAAAATAAAATGGCGATTGGGTGGGAGTCGTCCCCGCTAAAATCCGCAAAATAGCAGAAAAGTCTCCCATCCTACAATAAACGACCCGCCCATACTTAATTTTTTCAAAAAAAAAATATTGTGGGTATCATAAAGGCCGAATCATACTGACCTAAATAACAGCGAATAATGATTGTAACCACACATGGCTCACAAACATACTGACCCATCTTCCTCATGTCACAACTCAACTCCTCATTGTGTTCCCGGGAATTTTTAACGTTCCCAATTTAGCAGCACTAATATCTATTAATGTTATATCATATCATATACTCCACATTAGTAAAGATGATGATTAAGTGCTATTAGTAACTTAGGAATCGTGCCTAAACAATGTGGGCCTCTGTATTTCTTAATTATTCCATTTTGGTGCTTATCATAATTATTCTATTTATTTCATTTTACCTGTTTTTTCCTCTCTAGTGGTTAAAACGGGCATGGCAAATATAAGCATTTTATTAAAATCCTGTGAAATTTTAATTTTAATTTTAATTTTGAAAATAAACATTTTGATATACTCCCCTTTTCTTATTCTTTCTTGAGAATTTTTGTTGAAAAACTAATAATTTATTAAAATTGAATAAAATATAGTAATATGATTTTTATTCTCTATAGGAAAGTTCAGAAATTCAGTTCCCTTAAAAGTAAAAAATGACTGGATAGATTTCAAAAATAATAAGCTCCAACTCATCAAAGCAACCCACAACCAACTCATCAAAAAGTAAAAGCGGTGATTACCCAAGCAAAGCAAAAACCCACCAGCCAGTTGGAAATTTAATTGGGCGTAATTATTGCATTTAATTATTAAAATCGACCCGTTTTAACTTTTTCCTTTTTTTAAAATTGAGCAAAGTGAGGCCCTTTCATGCTCCCATCACCTGCCTCTGTCCAACCCTGTCTCACTCAAAAACATTCACCCCAAGAAACCTTGGTGATTACTATTGCCACCGTTCATTTTTATTGGATGCACGCATAATTTGGGCTGAACTAGGGGTGGCAATGGACCCGGACCCGGACCCGGACCCGGACCCGGAGCCAGAGCCGGAGCGACTTGGGAATTGAGGGGTAGACCGGCAGGTCGGGTTTGGGTCCAAATCTTAGGCTCCAACATTATTTGGGTCAGGATCCGGATCTGGGTCCGGGTTTAGTAATATTTTTTTGGTTCCAATTTATGAAATATATTTAAATATAATTAAATAAATTGATATTCTAATTTTTAGGTCGGATCCAATCATATCGGATCAGGTTGTCCCAAACTTTATTTTTGGGTATCTGGTGAATTTGGATCCCATAACATTTTTTCGGATCCAGGTCTGGGTTCGGTCGGACCCAGACCCGTTGCCATCCCTAGGCCAAACCCCTAGAGACCAAGGATGGCAATTGGCATGGTCGCTTGGCCCTACTCGTTCAACGAGGTTCTAGAATGCATTGTTCGCAAAATCACTTGATCTAACCACTAACCGCGCAGTTAGATTGGAATCGGCTAGTGGTCGGTTCCGGTTTTGGGCGGTTAGAGTGATCAACCGGTATTTAACAAAGAAAATATTCAAAAAATGTATATAAATTCTCAAAAATAAAATTTTTGATTTGTAATGTATTTTTAAATATTTTTTACATTATGGTAAAGATTAAAAATTGTTTTGATAATTAATACTCACTTTTATATTTTTCCATCTTTTTTAAAAAATTTGAAAAATAGCCATTGGAAAATAAAAAATGGGTTCCATTTTTTTTATTAATTTTCAACTTCATTCGGGTTAACTGCTCCTGTTCGAATTTGCGAACACCGCTAGAATGTTAGGGCATAGGCCATATAGTACAGCTCGAGAGCTGGGCCAAAGTCGGGTAAACATGAATCGAGGATGGTGACAGGTTAGGCTTGGGCAAAGGTCAATCTTGTTATCTCGACTTGATCTTTTTTTAAACAAAATTTATTGGACACGGCCCAGGCCAGCCTAAATAGGCCCGCCTCGGTCAGAGCCTCTTTGGCCTGTTTAGAGCCGGGCCAAGCCTAAGTTGGCCGTATGTGGACAAGGGCTGGGCTAGCCCATTACTAGCTCGAAAGTAAATACATGTACGGGCCAGCCTAGATAGGGCGGCGGGCCCCGCCGCGGTCAGAGCCTCTTTGGCCTGTTTAGAGCCGCGCCAAGCCTAGGTTGGCCGTATGTGAACAAGGGCCGGCTCGCCCATTACCCGCCCGAAAGTAAATACATGTGGATGTGGGTGGTTATAGAAAAACACAGAGTGGGAATAGAAATCCTAAAGGTGGGCCACGAATCCACGTGGCTCCAAGATGCAGGGACCAACTTGGCTAGTGGGGCCCACGTCCAAGGAGGGATGACCGGAAGCAGGCTGTCGGAGATCGTACGGCCGGTAACCGAACGATGGAGAAAAAAAGCGGGGCTTTTTTCATCTTCGGCCTTTAAAACCCCTGAAAGTAGGCGCCTGGTCTTTTGTGCTTCTCTCTCTCTCTATCTCTTTCTCTCTCTAAAGCAGACCTTGGAAGGAGTTGCAGAGACCTCGCCGATCTCCTTTCTAGGTATTTTCTTTTGATGGAGGTTTTGGGGCATTTGTTCTGCATGTTAAAAGCTGCTCTTTTTTTTTTTTAAGGCTAAATCTCTCTGGATTTGATTTAATTTCTGCGGAGACTAGGGTTTCTCTTTGGTTTGATTGGGTGTTCTCTGTTAGTTTTGGGTTCATTGGTTGTGAACTTGTGGTTTAGGATGATTGGATCTGGTTTTGATACGGTTGATTCGTTCGAATGATCATTGATTGATTATTAGTTCAGCTTGATGATCTTTGTTTAAAGTTGGGTTAGTTGGTGGACATTTTTGTTTAAATTTTATTTTTTGTGGATGAAAATTCACCATTTTTTTCTTTTTTTAGGGTTTATTGGGAGCAAAACTAAGGTCTAGCGTGATTGACTAGAGAGAGGCCTCATAGTGCTATCTGACATTTTGTTTTTCCTTTCTTTTTTTGGTCAGTTTCGTATTGATCTTCAACTTAGAATCTTTCTCTGGATATATGTGTCTCTCTTGTTGTAATCGCATTCCTAATAACTTTAGTGGTGGCTTTGTGTTTTTCAAATGAGGAATCCCAACTTTTACTGCTTCCAGATTATATTTTCTATTTGATGTGAAATGGGGTTTTGCAGTTATATGTATGTATGTATATCAATCTATATATATTCTGAGGTCATGACCCCAAGATTTCATTCACTTGATTATATTCTTAGTTCAAAGAGGAAATGCTTCCAAATTATGGCAGGAAAAAAAAGGGAAATTCAAACTACATCTCTGATTATGTAATTATAATTTATAAAAAAAGAAGATAAATTGTCTGAGATATACATGTGATGTCTAGGTGCTTGCATCACCGGCAATTTGAAACATGGCAGACGGTGAGGATATCCAGCCTCTTGTTTGTGACAATGGAACTGGAATGGTGAAGGTAGTTATTCTTCAATCTCTCTCGAAAGTCCCAAGCATTGATTTTTGTGGTTTATTTTCTCTCTCTATTTATTTATTTATCACTTTGGTAATTCTCTATCTGTCTAGTATATATATACAAGTGTAGAACTCTTAATACTACATATCATGACATAAATCTGTGCTTTCGCGGTCCCCTGTGTTTTGGGTGTTTGGGTATTTAGCCTGATGGTAGTTTTCATTAAAGAGAGAGAATCTTTGATCTCATAAAACTCTAAAATACTGGAAATTGATTAGAGATCTGATCTTTTAGGTACTGTTTATTGGGTGTTTGGGTATTTAGCCTGGTTTTGCTGGACAGTTCTCAGTAAGAGACACTGCATTACTCTATATATACTCTAGTTTTCTTCGTATTGCAGAATGTATTATAACTCTGAGTTTTTGTGAACTTCTGTTTCTAATGGGTGTTTGGTAAGTATCCTGGTGTCACAAGAAGGTTCTCCATAAGGAGTTTGGGCCTTTGCCCCTTTAGTTATTTTAAACTCTTAATACGGCAAAATACAGTATATAGAAATCTGTGCTTATGTTTTCTTCTACTTATTGGACGTTTGGCATTTAGGCCGGTTTCGCAGGAGATGATGCTCCAAGGGCTGTCTTTCCAAGTATTGTTGGGAGGCCACGACACACTGGTGTGATGGTAGGAATGGGGCAAAAGGATGCTTATGTGGGTGATGAAGCCCAATCAAAGAGGGGTATTTTGACATTGAAATACCCAATTGAGCATGGTATTGTGTCCAATTGGGATGATATGGAGAAGATTTGGCACCACACCTTTTACAATGAGCTTCGAGTTGCACCTGAAGAGCACCCTGTTCTCCTAACAGAGGCTCCACTCAACCCAAAAGCAAACAGGGAGAAGATGACTCAGATCATGTTTGAGACCTTCAACACACCTGCAATGTATGTTGCCATCCAGGCTGTTCTCTCTCTTTATGCTAGTGGGCGCACAACTGGTAAGCATATTATGCTCTCTCTCTCTCTCTCTCTCTCTCTCACACACACACACACACACAAAACTGTATCTGGTGATGGTTTGCACTTAAATGAAGTGGACTTAGCTGGTTGTGGATTGGAATTTGGTTGTTCTATTAATACCTTGGGCTTACACGCACATAGAGTTGGTTTTTAGAGACCAGATTGATGTGATTATTTTCCCTACATGCACAAAATGGAGAATCAAAAATATTTTTCATGCAAGATATTGAATTTCTGATAACTGTTTGTGTGAAATTGTCAGTTATACACTTAACGGAAGTCATTAATTTTTAACTGGCTTTCTGTCGCATTTGCACAATACAAATAACACAAAACATCACATAACTCACCTGTATTTATGGAAAATTTGATATGAAGCTATGGTGGCAAAATGCTTATTAATACGCAAAAGGTATGTAACAATGACAGGTGTGTCATGTCCATTCCGGAGAATTTAAAGCAAATGCCTTAGACACACTTGTTGACACATAAGATGCACATTCAGACACAGAAATTTCATTTAGGCATACATGTCTAGAGATTTTCATTTTTGTGTTTTCCTGACATGTCGCGTCTGCTATGACACTCAAGCTCACATTTAGGACAAAAAAGATAGGTTTGTTTACATTGTTTGTAAGACGTGTATAATGTAAAATGCCTGTTTTGGCAAAATTTGGGGTATGTGTCTGATTTGGGGCATACGCCTTTGATTTGATCCACATTTTTTTATTTTTTATAGTTTTATTATAAAAAAGTCATAAACTAATTTTATATGTAAGTATATTGATGTGTATGTGTTTGTATGGACTTGTGCATTTGTCTTACTGGACTTGGCAAAAATATAGGTAGGTGGATCAGATTCTTCAAATCTGAGTGAGACACTTGTTCGCTTATCCGTGTCCTTGTAACCTAGTGCAAAAAACCATAAATGTAAATTTGAAGGGAATCATGACAAGCATGGCATTATAACATTTAGGCCTACCACTTTATGATTGCCAATTTTTTCACTTATATTTGGTTTCTTCTATGTTACAATAGTGACAATGCTTGTATGCTTATGACTTTCACACTATAAATTATGTGATCTTTATACTGTTGTACTCCATTTTATCAGACCTAGGTTCCTTGTAATTTGGTGTTTATCTTCTACAACCCTAGGTCTAATATATGACTGCAGGGATGGGGTTTTTGGATGGGACTTTTTTTTGGGGGTGGGTTTTTTGGTGGGTCTTTTTTTGGGTGGGGGGAGCCGTATTAGTTTGCATAGGGGAGGAAGTAATAGGACAATCAGCAGTTGGAAGACAACCAGTAGCTTGGGTTAGATCCCCCCCCGCGTCAAAAAATGATATTATGGATTACTGAGGCGCATCGGAAAATTCATATGCATGAATGTCAGAATATATGAATTTATTTTGAAATCTCTCACAACTTACATTATATAGAAAACCATGAGTAAATTTTCTTGTCCTTGGCCCTTGGTTTTGACATTTTATATGTAACAAACATGAATATAGTGGAAAACCAGGATTTGGAAGCAACCATCTTCTTGAATGAGGCATAGAATTTAGAAGAATTACTTTAAGACCTCATTGTTTATGGACATTGTTAGCTTTTAGCTTTTAAACTCTTAATAAATGTCAATTTCATGGATTAGTTTCATCTACTGGTTTGTAATGGTCTCATTTATGCTATGTTGGTCAAGGATATGGAATCGGACATGATTACACCCACATGGTGGATAATGGAATTAAAGCTGCTGTCTTGCACCTTGTCCATCATGTGCAAAAGTAATATGCACAGTGGGACAAACAAATGTGAATCAAATATTTTATGATCTTATGCATATGCTTCTTTGTTTATTCATACCCATGGGCCCCTAATACTTGTCTCATGATGAAGGGGATGTTAATATTTAAAAAAGGATTAGAAGACAAGAACTTACTTTAGTGATTAACATATAGTACTGGGGCCATTAAAAGCATAATGACATACATTCTACTATTTCTAAATGTTGTGGAAGTGTTCTAAAATCTTTCTGGAAATTATACCCATAATGTTGCATTATTTTCCTCTTCATTTTTTTTTTCTGTTCAACTTCTTGAAAATTTCACTTATACTTGATCATAAATATAAGATTAATAGTTGTAAGAAAAGATATCAAGTTTAGGGTGTATAACATTGTGATAATAAATATCAATTTATGGAATGTTTTTATTTGCTTTTGATAGTTGATAATAATCTATATAAGAGAATGTTTCTTTATTTCTATCTTTATATTACTATTTCTATGTAATCTTGGTTCATTCATTTTCATGTAAATTTTCTCAAAGAAGTTCAAAGTTCTCAAAATTGAATGTGACTTTTCTCAAAATCATTCGAGGTAAACAAAGCGTTGTTAAACAAGAGTTTAGAAACTCAAGTCGAACTTGCTTGCGGAACCAGAACCTACCAATTCCTGATGGCCGAGGCTTAGATTATGCAAGTGTGATCCAAATTTGATCTGAGTCTGACAGGAGTCTTGCTTGAGTCTGCCCAAGAATATCTGAGCCTTCAAAAAATGCGGCTAATATTTTTGAAAAAATATGGTTTTCTAAAGATAAGACTCATCTAGCCTACTTGGACAAAGCCTTGGCCGGTTCCGGTTTTAAGTCAGTGTAAAACTAGCGGCAAAAAATGAATTCACAAAAGTTAAAGAAAGAAGAATTCTGAAAGGTATGCCTCTGTCGAGTATTTATCTGCATAGAAATCATGACTTTAGGTATGTCAGCATGCATCTCATAAACTCTATATTTATCCTTCCACCCTGTGATTTACTGTATATTTATCCTTCCACCCTATGGTTTGCATATTTAATTTAGAACCAGCTGTCAACAGAAAATATATATGTAGAGATTTCCATTGACTGATCAAATTGTCAGCCCTGTAAGTATGCATTTCTCCATAATTTTAAGATTATACCAAGATAATATCAGGGTGTATCACTGCATTTCAGGTATCGTGCTTGACTCAGGGGATGGTGTGAGCCACACGGTCCCAATCTATGAGGGGTACGCCCTCCCGCATGCCATCCTGCGGCTTGACCTTGCTGGCCGCGACCTTACGGATGCCCTTATGAAGATCCTCACTGAGCGTGGCTACTCCTTCACAACCACTGCAGAGCGTGAAATTGTCAGAGACATGAAGGAGAAGCTTGCATATGTTGCCCTTGACTTTGAGCAGGAGCTCGAGACTGCGAAGAGCAGCTCATCTGTTGAGAAAAGCTATGAATTACCTGATGGGCAAGTGATCACTATTGGGGCTGAGAGGTTTAGGTGCCCTGAGGTGCTATTCCAGCCTTCAATGATAGGGATGGAGGCAGCAGGGATTCATGAGACTACATATAATTCAATTATGAAGTGCGATGTTGATATAAGGAAGGACTTGTATGGGAACATTGTGCTTAGTGGGGGGTCTACCATGTTCCCGGGGATAGCAGATAGGATGAGTAAGGAGATCACGGCTTTGGCCCCGAGTAGCATGAAGATTAAAGTGGTTGCGCCGCCTGAGAGAAAGTATAGCGTTTGGATTGGTGGATCCATCTTGGCATCCCTCAGCACATTCCAACAGGTGATCTCTCTCTCTATGTGGCCTCTTCACCTTCGCCTAGGAGCTTCACTTTTGTTTCCTCCTTTTTTTTGAAACTATTCTATAATATCTCTCTGCAAAATGGTTGTTGCCCACCTGTTTTTTCGTGTGCGTATATATGTATGTATAGTGTAAGAAGGATTCATCTTCTTGAGATAGAGAAAAGAATGGTTCTTTTTTCTGGTTCTCATTCTCAACAAGGTAATTGTTCTGGAAATGGTTCTTTTTTCTGGTTCTCATTCTCAACAAGGTAATTGTTCTGGTCATTATTAACATTTGACGTCAATTTATGGATACAGATGTGGATTGCCAAGGCAGAGTACGATGAATCTGGACCATCGATTGTGCACAGGAAGTGTTTCTGATGCTGCAAGTGGCCCGTCCATCCAGTTCTTTTTTTGTGTTGCTTTGTTAGGTGGTTGTTAGTTGGTGAACGGAATGCATGTCAAACATTATTATTGGTTGGGTTGTTATTGTTTTCACTATCCTTTTCTATATGATGCTTGGGTTCCTTACAGCATGGCTAGAATCTCAAGATCTCTTATACCTCATTATTTGAAATGCAATACGATATCAGAGAGGGACCCTTTGACAATATGCCTCAGAGGTCCCAATTGATGAACATCGCATGTCAATGTCTATTGGGATTTTGTACAATGAGAGAGTTGCGCAGAGGAAGGGCACACAGAAAGGGCAGACACACCCCAAACTGTCAATTGTAACATAGGATGGATGGCTGGGGTAAATGCCCTAAATCTGAATATTTTTTGAGCTTTGAACATGGTTAATTGGACACCCCCAACTGCCATATTCTACATGTGACGGCTAAGGATCATTGTGGGAATAATTTTATTTTACAATTTCTCTTATAAGATAACCCCCAATTCTCTCCCCTCAAATGCTACCTGTGCTCTCTGTGTTTCCACGATTTTTTATGTCACTCGTACCTTCCTCATCCTCATCATCTCCTCTTGGGCTCAGTTGGAAGGAACATCCGCAATTTATGTGCAGCAGAATTATAAAATAGGATGCACTAGCTATTATATCTCCAATGTGAAAGAGTGAATGAACCAACAGTTTGATTCTTTTGTGGACCATGATTTTTCAAATTAGAGCCTACCATCAATTAGTGTCAAGAAATGTGGTTTCAATATTGGAAATCTTTGTGATAGTTTTAAAATATATTTTCATATTTATTTATAAAGTTTAAAGCTTTAAATATAGTGCAGATTGATATATTTATAAGAAGTTGAAAATTGACGGTCAAAAAATGTGATACAAAATACACTATTTTTAAAATTTGCAATCCATGTCTATGCATTCTGATGTCGAGATGATCAATTTGAAGATATTGGGGCATCAAAACAGTCTTTTTTAATGAAATTTTTTAAGTAGGCTTAAATTTGGTTGTTTAGAGCCTCGGCTTTATACAAACTTTTTCCTTTTTAAATTCAGGTAAGCTATCAAAAGTGTATTTTTCAACTCCCTGCACACAAACATAACTGCAACTATTTTGAGGTTTTTTGGATGTTCATTAGTTAGCCTAAATTTTCTCTACAAACCCATGAGAGAGTACAAAGAAACCATGTCTTTCACCAAAAACTCAATGCATTGCACGGGCTAAATGCATTGGGAGAAATAGGTGAACAGTAGATGAACCTTAATATCTCCAATCAATAGAGACGAACCTTCCAAAATGCAACGAGCTTTACACCAAGTGATAGTACCTCCTTTTAAATGCTTTCCCATCTACGCCTATTCCTCTTTTTTCCTTTCTCTTTTTTTTTTTTTCAGAATGTTAAACTGATATTTCATTAACCAAAGTGTTATTTACAATTATAGGTGTACAATAAACAAAAAGTAAAATCAGCAAAATTAGGTTGTATTTCTACACACTATTTACAGCCACTGTATTAAAGAAAAACCCACCCACATTCAATAACCCAAAAAGAAACACTTGAACTGTCTTTTTTCTACTTGTCGCTATCTATCTTGTTTAAATAATCATTATAAAATAAATGTGTATAAAAATTTCGAAATTCTGCTAAATCAAACATTATATAGGAATAGAAGTGTACAATATAATTATGAAACAACCGAACTTTTGCAAACCTAATGTTCAAAGTCGCCTCTCTCTATTTTGAGCCCCTTCCCCTCTCACACACAAACCCACCTCCTCTCTCCCTTAGTCTTACCCCTACCCCCCTTCCCCTTCCTCTCTCTCTCACACACACACACAACCACCTACCTCTCCTCTCTTACCCCCCTACCCCCCCCCCCTCCCCCTCTCTCTCTCCATCCCAAGGGGTGAATTTTCTTTTTCTTGACAAAACCTAGTATACTCTTAAGGAAATCTATTACCGATCTAAAATCTCTCTCTCTGTCCATACATCGCATACACATGGATGCAATCTGTACGAGGCAACCTTACTTCTGAAAATGAGATTTGCAATGTTCTACACCATTCATTTTAATTGGACAGAATGTGGTTCCACAATAGCAAGTCAAGCACAGTTACAATCTCTTTGACAAGGTATATTTTTCTTTGTCGAGATAAAGAAATTGTTGGGCCTATGTTTGTTGAAGGAGATTCTCTCAATGTTATTAAATGATGTAGAAAAGAGAAGAGGCATGGATTTTGAAGTCATTGTCGGTGCAGATTTTGGATTGTTGTTTGTCCTTTTGAGCATGTGTATAAATAAGCAAACTAGGAGGCTGATAGCTTGGCAAGGAGGGGAGTGGAGCTACATCATTGCGTTCTGCTCATGGGTTAGTTTTTGTTGTACAATCTAATGTATTCTCCATTGACTACTAATAAAAGTTATTAAAAGGAAAAAGTTTATATGAAGTTGAGGCCTAAACAATCAAACTAAGGTGCATCACAAAAATTCATTAGTCAAAGTTGTTTTGATGTTAAAAAATCCTAAAATCCGATAATCTCGACCTTGAGATATATGGACAAAAAAAAAAAGACTTCCAGTTTTTTAAAATGGTGCATCTTATAATGCATATCTAGACCGTCAATTTTCAAGTGTTCATAAATTTGCTTGATCTTAACTATTTTTAAGATTTAAATTTGTAATTAGAGATGAAAATAAAATTTCAGACTCTCATAAAGATTTTCAATACTGAAACGACATCTTTTGACACCATTTGAAGGTGCGCCTTACTGATTGTTTAGAGCCTCAGCCTTATTTATATAAACCATACCCTTTAAAAAAATATAAAAATAAAAAAGTGTCCGAACCGTCTAAATCAAATAGACTTTGCGGTTAGGGCAACCTATGTAAGATTGCAACCTTCTTATTTCTCGTCTTTTCCTTCATTGTCTTTCCTTCCCACAACAGTAACAAACCCTAGGATAACCGAGAACTACAAGGTTTCACAATCTCTGAGTTCCCCAAGACTTTCTTGTTTTTATAGATTTGCTTTAACTACCTTTTAAACAAATTTGTCTCATTCTTTAGGCTTTCTTCCCTACCAAGCTTAGAACTAGGGGTAGAGAGAGGCCAAGCAGTTCAAACCTAATTAGCCTAGGCCGAAGTTACTAAATTAGGCACAGGGGCCAAGCCGGCACCGGAAATCTGTAATAGGGCCGGGTAGGACTAACTAAGCAAACTGCGCCAGAGCCTTGGGCCCTGGGCCCTAGTCCGTTCCCGGCCAGCACTGGCCCAAGACTAGGCCCATGAGGGCCATCATAGATTTCCCATTGTGTCTGTCAGTGTAGCTCCAAATTGCCAGAAGAATAAACAAACAAGTTTAATGAACCACCAAGATGGAAGCCAAATTGCCAGAAGAATAAACAAACAAGTTTAATGAACCACCAAGATGGAAACTGTACAAAGCTGCAGTTGGTGCCCTACATTGAGTCCTATTCAACAGAAAGTACACAAATAAACGCTCTATCCAAACAAGAGTTCTATTTTCTGTTTAAAAATATGCGTATTTGCAAATATAACACAACAAATATGTTTGATTCAGGAATTGACAACTGAGTACAAATGATCATTCATTCATCTGTGTCTGCAAAAATTCCAAGACTGCCAAACTGGCTGCCCATACATCATCCTCCATAACATGCTCAGCAGATGAATGGCTGATGCCACCACGGCAGCGAACAAACAACATCCCAACCTGTTAACATTGCTATTCAACCCATTAGCAAGGATAGAAGGGTTTCTTCTTAAAGTTTAGTTCACAAAGTTTATCAAAATAAGGGAAAGCACAGTATAAAGAACTATGAAGAAAGAATAGTTGATTCACCCAAACAAAAGAAGAAAGAATAGTCCATTGGGGCGATTGTCATCCCATGAAATGACAACCTTGGAGAGAGAGAGAGAGAGAGAGAGAGAGAGAGACGTCGCCAGTACGAACGGAGGACAGTCGACCGACTAAGTTACGGTTACCGTACCCTACTTTTCCTTTACCTCCTAGTTCTACTACCTACCTAC